GCGAACTGTTTTACATAAGTTTACGAACTGTTTTACACACTAATAATGCAAAGTTCAAACCCAACTACTCTTTTTATAAATTGCTCTTTATTCCTTAAAAGTCTGATATTACAGAGAACTATATGATGGTTTTTGACGAGTACATTGACAAATATAATAAAAAAAAAAAGAACCGTCAAAGAATGCCGTAACAGAGCGGCTGTGAGAATGAATTTCTAAGTCTCGTACCATGTAATCGTGGTCACTGTTCTTTCTGTGTTGTGGTTCCGGATCACTACCGCTACGTTTATGTCGCCATTTGCTTGCATCAAAAATTGACGAAAGAGGCTGAAAGAAAAGGACTTTGTTATTTCTTAGATAGGTACCGAACTAAAATGTCAAACTGTATACCTTTTTATCTCGATGCGTCCTTATAACACAGTGGACGGCAATGATTGGGACTACGGCCAATGGAGAAAACATGACTAACCAGGCTCCAAGTTCATAATGAAATGGCAGTGGATAGTCTTCTAAGGTAATCGTTTCGTAACTTACTGCTGATGCCACTAACAAGAACTTAAAAACCGAGGAACAAAAATGAAAACTTTGTCAGTTGTAGAATTTTGCTGATAAGGAATCAAGCAGTGAAAACAAAATTCAATGTGCCGTCTTACCGTCAAGAAGAAAGGGCTAAACAAACACCACGACCATCTGATATATCCTCCAGTAGGACCAAAAAAAAATTTTGTTTTTTTGTACAATCCAACTTGTTTAAGACTGATATTATGAGACTGAAGCTTATCTTGTAAACATGTTGGTACACGCAACATCTCTCCAATATCGTCTATGAAATTTTCAATGCCTATGAAAGATGATCTAAACCACTTGTACAGAAGCAAATGGCTGTTGATAATTTTTAGGTAAACACTAAGATATAAGTTTTTAATTTGTTTAAAGCAGCATTGCTCATTCTCTTTTCCAAATTAAATTTTATTAGTTCGCAAATGAATTATAGGAGAAGCAGGTATATACCGTAAATGTAGCAGACCACAATAATTTGAAGGAGACTCAAAGTAAATGAATTCCAATTTGCATTCATGTTTTCCACTGAATGAAACACAAGAATACCTCCCTAAAATATGCTTCAACTGGTGTCTTTGAAGCAGGTGATTAGAAATGATTGTAACAAAAAATAAACCAAAAATAAAAGTTAAATTTTTCTACGTAAGTAAAATTTTTTTCGTTCTGTCGAACAAAACTTCTAGATTCTTGAATAATCGGACTCTTAAGCACTACAGAAAAAAGTATTCGTAAGTGATAACGTTCAAATGGTGCATTAAACGGTTACTCTTGCAGTTAAGGGAAGTCCGCACAAGAAGCAGCTAAGACATAGACCCACTACCACTCGAATTTCTGATCTTCTACTGGTCAAATTGAATTGTTTCATTATTGATGAAATTATCATTTCCAACCTTAAAACAGGTATGCTTTATCACCGCTGTTCCCCGTATTATTAACAAACTGTGGTCAAAAAGTTTTAATGAAAGCAAATTACCAAGCGAATTCAGCGTCTACAGCTGAGAGTGTCAGCATGGCGAAAAAAGAAGCGGCCCAAAGCGGGCCCATGGTATCCATAAAAGATGTCACGCCTGGGTAAACCGTAAATGCAATGTATAATGAATCATGCCCTGTAATCTCGTAGCAACAACATAACTTTGAAGATTACAGTTTGTTTGAAATTATTAAACCATACTCAATATTGCGTCTACAGCTTGATCCTGATTTTGGGCCAGAAAACCAATAAACGAAAATATAACCATAGCAGCTAAAATGCTGGTAAACGTATTCCTGAAAATAAATAAAATATGCCTAATAACGCTTTTGTTAGCTTATTCTTCTTCTGTTGTTTAAAACCACATTTATGTCGCCTCTTCCTTCTGGCTTAAATAGAAAAAAACAAATTAAAATTACAAGATAACAACGATAACAGCATCCCGGTAAATATTGTTTCGATACCGACTAAATGCTGCCATCGAAATTAGCGGACCAGCATCGATGCCTAGTGAGTAAAACACCTGCTCTGCTGCGGCTTTCCACATCTAAACAGTATAATGTAAAACCGATTAAAAGTTACGGCACACCCAGTTTCAACTGAATCAATGAAAAAGTAAAAATTCACAATAGTCCGCCTAATGAAAAATAGACGACTCTTTACCTAAGCTATAATTACTAACCGGTATAGACCAAATCTTGTCGATGTCAGGTTTGAAAAGGAATGCAAGACCTTTATCAGCACCGGGCAATGACATCCCACGAATTAGAAGAATAATCATCTGGAAGATAAAATTAAATACATTATAAAAAGTTTACTGTATTTCTGAATCCATAAGTGTATTCTATTAAAACTGTAAAAATTAGCTATAGTTTCCGCAAAGCCTATCACTCACTTACATGTAATGACAATTATTAACAGTACTCAGAAAAAAGTTATTTAACTCAACTGCATGTTAGAGACGACCCAAGTGAAAAGAAATTACTTTTTAACAAAAAGAGTTTTACAAATACCTAATTTAAGTAAAAAATTAAAAATAAAAAATAAAACAAACAAGAAAGTATGGAAGTGTAGATGTTATCATAACAGACCATCCAATTGAACCAACACCTTTAAAAACTCCAAAGAAAACGAAAATCCATGCAAATGCTAGTGCCAAAACCAAATGTCCCTGAATTGGCCCTAGTGTTGGGTCTAACACACAGCTTTCACTGGCCTGAAGTGTTGCGTTCAGTAAGCTCACCGTTCCGTTAAAACTTTCAGTCAACATATCTTCCGGGTAGATTTTTGGTGTTCTGTTTAACACTTCGTAACTAAAAACTTTATTTCTTCTAAAAAAATTAGTGCAAAAATTTCTTAAGGAAAAAAAAGCCTATACAGAAGACAGTTATTTATAAATACGGTACTTCAAGCTTTAACATGTCTTAGTAAAAAACCTTCCCTCAAAAGCTTACTGAAAATAAGCTTCCGGTGAGGAAATTGCATGCAGCCTTGAAAAGCAATCTGAAGATGTTTGTAGTACACAGCAAGGAGTGTTCTTTGGCCAGTCTAAAAAACTTGCAACTTTATAACAGCTTTTGAAAAAAGTGGTAGCTGCCATGCTTCTGCTCAAAATTAGAATTTTACCAGGATTACAATGACTCCACGGCAAGCCACCCGTGAAGAAACCTCGTAATGAAAACCAAAAGTAATATATAGACCAAGCGACAATGATATTATAGTATACAGATACTGGAAATGCCAATATCACCAATGCCCACCCAATACCTAAAAATTACCAAAAAACTGCCTGCATCAAATGAACCTTTAATTTGAAAAAGAGAGCAAATTTTAGTTACAAGTTGCTCACAATACTTCACCTGTGCGTCAAATGATAGATTTTATAGTTGATATTTGCCAATGGACTAAGAGAATTCATTTACCAGAAGCTACTGGCATTAGTTGTCGAAAGGCACCAATCGCAGACTGGCCAGAATATTGGCCGATGCAGAGATGAAGAAACACAAACGGTAAACCAAATAAGGCGAGTGACACAAAGTATGGTATTAAAAATACCCCTTAAAACCAAGTTTTTACAGCGATAAATCAAAAAAAATTTCAGCAATAATAAAACAGAGTTCAAGCGGCTTCTGGGTTAGTTTAGTGAGAGTCGTTTTAGCACCAAAAGAGTTGTGAAAACAACAGAACGAGGAACCTCC